AGCAAGTTGAAGCCGAAATGGGAGCTACATAAATGTCAAGTTGCGGCGCCCCTTTTTGGAGGATCTCGGCCGCTCACGGCTGGAAAAGGGGTCCAGCACAAGGAAAAAGGTAGAAATCTGAAATCAGATGCTGCTGGACCCCTTTTTGGAGGATCCAGAACGCCGGCAGCACAAAAAGGGGCTCAGCAGCTAGAAAATGAAAGGCAAGATCATGGAACTCCAAACGAACAGGTTGCGGGACCCCTTTTGGCCAGATTTGGGCTGCAGGATCCCCAAAAAGGGCTCCAGCGGCTAGAAAATGAAAAGCTCAAGTATGGAACTCCAAACGAACAGGCTGCGGGACCCCTTTTTGCCAGATTTGGGCTGCAGGATCCCCAAAATGGGGTCCAGCAACCTGAAAAATCACACTGATACAAAGCGAACCTGCTGGACCCCTTTTTGCCAGATTTCGACGCCAAAAAGGTACAAAAAGGGGCCCAAGAAGCTTTTACAGAGGTAAAAAAAAGAGCCAAAAGTCTGCACCAAAATTCTTTTTTAAAACGGTGCCAAACTCCAAGGACACCCTTGAGGGGCACAAAGCAAATTCCAACATAAGCTCGAATACCTTATTCTAAGGGCCCCAGTCTTTGTTTGTACCACCACCAACAACAACAACAAGAACAAGAACGAGAACAACAACAACAACAGCAACAACAACAACAACTACTACTACTACTACTACCACTACTACTACTACTACTACTACTACTACTACTACTACTACTACTACTACTACTACTACTACTACTACTACTACTACTACTACTACTACTACTACTACTACTACACTACACAACAACTACAACCACACAACAACTACAGCTACAACTACAACAACAACTACAACTACAACAACTACAACTACAACTACAAAACAACTACATCTACAACTATATGACTGCAACTACACTACACTAATTACATTACACCACAACTACAACTCCACTACGCTACAACTACAACTACAGTTGCAGTACATCACACTACATCCAGCAGTTGTGGGTGAGGTGACCACTGCAACCATTCCAGCAAACACAACTCCAACCACCTTTCGGTCAATCAGTGGATTCGCTCTGCCATCCGTGATTCACAACAACCAACGTCTCCTATAGGTTTCCTATTCTGAAACTTCCGCCACCGCCTTGTGCGGTACTACTGGTAAATGAATGGACAATAGTTGTAACTGGTGATTTCTTTGGGATTCATGGTCAAAAGAAATAGAGGGTTAATAGATAGTCGGGCATTTATTAGTTATAGCATGTTATAACTGATGATAAATGGGATTTACATTCTATAAATGGGTTTAGAGGTACTTATAACTGGTAAAGGGTCATAACTGTAGAATTTAGTTGAGCATTGGCCACAGATTGCTTCGGCTTGTTCAACTTGCCCATGCCTTATTTTCCGGATATACAAGCTACATATCTCATACTATGTTGATATTTACTATATGAGTAGAGCGAGCGTTGAAGAAGGATACTTCAGGCATGCCCTACGCAGCATTCTAAATAACTTGGACAGCACGATATCCAGGCTTTTTTTTGTGAACCGACATTGCCAGTACCAAGCTACGTGGGGCGATCCAAGATACCTTTGCATACATCCGATCTTAGCTTCCATCTTATCTGATGTGCTCGTTCTGCATGGTGGTCGCAGCCAGGAAATAGGCACGCGACCAGGACGGAAGCTTTGGAACTTCACCAAGCATCAGGCGGCGCCCACTGCTTAGGTAAGGTGGTTTTTCGTAACAGGTGCTGATATACCCACATGGGGGTTTCCTAAAATGGGGGTACCACAAAATGGATGGTCCATAGTGGAAAATCTTTTTAAAATGGGTGATTTGGGGGTACTCCCATTTTAGGAAACTTCCACATGGGAAAATACGCTGCAAAAAATGGTGCAGTTTGTCAATCACAGCAGTAGATGGTACTTTTGGAACTCATACGCGCACATAGGAACTTGGATGGAAAAGTGTGAAGCAATATACTCCTTGCAATTTCGTCAAATTCTCAAGCCATCAAACCACCCAGGTTGTCAAAAACGCCGATATTCTTTATATAGTGTTTTTCCCATTTGCAAGAGAACTTTGTTTTGGAAGGGCCCTTTTGGACCGAGCCCTTAAGCGACCTTGTTAATTGTTCGAGCGCTGGCCGAAGCATGGCTCACGAAGCGCAACAAAACTGATCATAAGAACAGCAAAAATGCATATTATATTGGTTCATGCAATAACTTCATTTGTTTTTTTCTGGGTTTAGCAAAATGCAGATTACAATTCGGTCGTGTGCTATTTAACAAAGAGGCATGATGTGGCTCTGGAGATTGTGTTTTTTGATGGTAAGTTTGAAACATCTGGAGTTATCTACAGATAGTTTGCAATGGCAAGGAGAGCCTTTATCAAAATGACAAAGGTATGTGAATCGTGTGAACTGCCTGATTTATGCAGAAGGATGGGCTATTCCCGATGGCCAAGGTTGGGCAGACCAAAACAACAATAATGTATTGGCCGTAGGTGCCGCATGTTCAACTTACCCGGTGGTAATTTAGGGTGCAAACCCCTCCGTTTGCCCGCGGCGACGTCCACCACGTGTCCGAACATCAAAAAACACCGTGTTTTGTCAGACAGAATGCACATGTCCAGGACCATGTCTTTCATATTGCAACGCGCAGCTTAGCAACCTGCGCGTTGAATGCTTTATCATCACCACCATCGTCATCACCACAATCATCACCACCATCATCACCACCATCATCAGCATCGTCATCGTCATGGTTATCATCGTCCTCATCCTCCTCATCATCATCATCATCAGCATCATCACCATAATCACAGTCAGTTTCGATACAATCTTCATCGACAACATCATTATCATCAACAGCATCACCATCATGATGATGATGATCATCATCATCATCAACACCATCACCAACATTATCATCATCAAAATCATTACCATCTTATGTTTGGCCTTTTTCTGATTCCCTAGAAACTCTGCTGACACCTCTGGAGGATTCCCTTGAATATAAAGTTTAACGGGGGTGGGGATTTAATGAATCCCTAGAAACTCTTTTGAAACCTCTTGAAGATTCCCTTCGACGCGCCAGTGAATATCGCTCTTCACTGTACTTGGAACCCTGCAAAAGTTGTGCGTGGGCGAAAGGGAGGTTTATGCGTAATTTAGCATACTGATGCTGTCTGGGAAATCGCAATTTTAAAGAAGTATATCATCGAGCTAAACCGGCCATGGCTTCCATAGAACACTGCTTGTTTACTTGTTTACGTGGGGGATGTTTTTAAATCTGGTGATAAATCCTGAACATGCATAAATGACCACTGTTAACTCAATGACTTGCTAGTTCGTGAGTGTTTGAAGCAAGGCCCAACAGAAATGTTCATGGCAGTGGGTTTGCCACAGTAGATGGGTTTTCTGCCAAAAGCTGATAGTTTGAATACATGATATCGACTTTCCTAACATAAGTGTTGTTTAATAGGGAATTGAATTTTGCCTGCATCCCACCTACATCTATGGGGCAATCGAATTAGTCAGTTATGTTAGTCATGGGATTTACCCGAGTTTCATATACTACGGCCTAGTGGCTCATAAATAGTTTTGACCCTACAGTAGCGGTGGGATTCACTGACTTCAGAAACCAAGAGCAAGCAGTAGGAAAAGGGCTTGTGGAGAATAGGTTTGTGCTGGTGTATACGGATCTTGTGGAGATAGGGGAATGGAGTATGGGATTGCCGGTTGCAAACACACAACCGTATTTTCAGCCACTGGCAGATGGTGAAAAATTCTGTCCAATCCCATTATTTCATTATCAATCATGAATTTGGCTGAATTCTTGATTTTGGTGTAGTTCCCGCGGGCCCATGCGGCTGTTAAAGGCAGGGCCTCGTTCCTGATCCCTCAGCCCCTCCCACTTTTCCAAAAACAATGGCAGCTCAAGAATTCGACAAACCCGACACGTGGTCCCTTGTCAAGTGCGATGAAAGAAGCCAGATATTTTCGGGGTTTAACAGCGTCCGCACATACACGCACACACATACGACTTCCTAAATGGGACGTGACCAAACTTGAACCACGAAGACAGGAGGGTTTCAATATAGCGGAAGGGAAATCTGGATCATGGAATTCGGAAAAACGGAGAAGTTTTAGTGAATATCTGATATGGATAGCAGCTCAAGATATGACCATAACGTTGGACTCAGTCAGTAAGTTGGTGACACAGATGCTTCGCCTAGCCCTACTTGTCCATCCTGCCATATTTACCCAGACAATGTGGGAACCCCAGCGCCATGAACCTGCCATTTACCACAGTGATGCCACCCATTTATGGTGATTTTGGGGGTTTTATTTTTGGGGTTCTCCACGTTGCACAGATTACATATTTCATACTTTTTAAATATCTACGACGACGAAGGATGCTTCAGGCATGTTCACGCAGGATTGACTGCAAACAATCGCGGGCGGCAATACGATGTCCAGATATTTTTTGTGCCTACACTATACCAGTACCAAGCTACGTGGAGTCGCTTAAACCCATCATAAGGTGACAAGCAGTAGAGCGAGGAGGGATGATCTCCCCGCTAGCTAGCGTGCGTCTGGAGCCTTGCCCCTAAGACATGGTTGTTCTGCATGGCGGTCGCACCTGGAAACTGGGGTCAGACCAGGGCCCATGAAGTTTTTGAGCTGGCAATGTTGGAGCCTGGCCTTTTTGGGAAGCACCTGTTTATAGCAGACCAACAGCTTCGCCAATATCTAGCGAATCGTTTTCCATTTCTCTGTGCCCGCCATTGTTTTTGGATGGAGCGTGTTGTTTTCAACACGCACGCGTGTGCTCATGGTTGACATTTTTTTCTACCTGGCAAACGTGTTTCTTTGCCTTTTTTTTTGTTTCCCTTTTTTGCGAAGCAACAAGCACACACCCATCGACAAAGGTTTTGACGCGCTTGGTGTCAGGCGATCCAGCAGCAGCTAACAAGGCTGGACTTTTTGGATCAACTGGTTGCTGAGGGGTGTTGCCCGTGCCACGTTTGTATCATCATACTTGGCTGGTGGTTCCAATTTGTTTCCATCTCTAGTTAAGGGGATGAACCCATTGTTTTGAAATTGCCAATAGATCAGTTAGATGTCCCGAGTCGGACGGCAATGGTGTGAAACCATCTGAAGCAACCATGTTTGTTCTAAGATCTAAGTGCACTTTTATACAAGGGGATTTTGCATCGTTTCAATGTTTTTGATCGTTTTTATGATTCGCATAGGCCACAACCTTTTGGATTTTTTGTGGACAAATCAACCATTTGATTTGGGAGGCGTTGCGGGCTCAGGGTGTGGTTAGGCGTTCGAGGACAGAATGTGTGCCTCATAGTGCGTCAAGGAACATGGCTAACGTCCTATCCACATCCGAATTTCAAAATCACTGATAAACCTACAAATTGTCCTGAAATAAAAAATGTCATCACTGTTTGATTTCCGACAAAATATTTCAGATGAAATGGGAATACTATCTCAACACCGCAGCAAAACCTCGGTTGGGGGCCGTCATTTGTATCACCGGTGGCAAAATTCGACACGGTGACCTGGTGTGATTTTCAGCACAGTGATTCACCCAACCATTTGGTGTTTATGACCACTCTTGCCTATATGCTCCATGGTGCTGGAATATTTACCAAGATTTACCCCATTTTTATCACCCAGTTTTGTAGGTAAATAATGGTAAATATGCCAGCACCATGGTTCGCATTGGGGTTGGTTTGTTCGTAATGTGATTTTTGTTGATTCGTTTTAGTTTGAATTCAAACGTGCTGACTCAAATATCATGGTTGTTGGTCACAATCACCATTTTATAAATCGTTTTGTTCGAAAATAACATGCCGTATTTGTTTTGTTTGACCACCTTTTTGTCCAAGTAAAAACATGTTAGCGGGTATATATTCCATTGTCTGGACGCATCACACATTTTGTAGTTGAGATGGTGGTCCGCATTTAGGTCCGGTTGTTCCCAAGGGGGACTAGGATTATCGCAATGAAAATGAAGATGACTTCCAAATGCTCCATGGTGCTGGTATATTTACCTACAAAACTGGGTGATTTATGGGGCAAATGTTGGTAAATATCCCAGCACCATGGAGCATATGGGACTATTTGGAGATATACCCAATTTTCAGACAGACCCATTTGTTTATGTAAAAAATGTAAACAATTCACATGTTCTGGTGGTACCACCACCTGTTGGAATGTCCAGCACATTGCACCGGCAACCTGGCCTCACGCCGCATCTGTCGAGTAGCTGCTTTGGACCGTGAAGACACGTTTGGGGGCATAGACAGACAGTTCACAGGTAACAACTTACGGGGCATATGTTCAGAAAAAAAAGATCTGGGCTGGTTCCAGTTGTGAAACGAGTGGGCAAACATTATCAGTTAATCAGACTAACTCATAATTTGTCAGGTGGGTTTGAAACACTTGCTGAGTTGTTTTTGTTCATGAATTCATTCTGTATAGTTTGATCTACCAGCATGCAAGAGCAAACGCAGTTGACCCAACATGTCACTATGATGATTGCCTTCTGCGCCATGATGCAACTACAGCATTTCGGTCGAGCCGTGATCACTTTATGTGTTGCACATAAGAAAATCGGAATAGATTAAGCATTCCTACAGCTAGACCATTGAAACATATTGAAAACATAGGACACCAACCCATGTTTGCCACCGAAGATCTTGTGATTTGACAGTTGAACAGTTGAACATGGTGTTTCACCCATACTTTGTTTTCCCTTTTAAGGTTCACATTGACTAAACCAACACATCTTTCACAACAAGCAAATTCTCTTTAGCGGCGCGTCACAGCTTGTGGACACAGGTGGGCTGTCGATGGAAGGTGCCTGGTGATCAACCCACTAAAAGATGATCATTCGATAGTTCGCTTTACGAAAGGATGGTTGATGGCAAATGTTTTCATAATTTTCATATACCCATAGTTAGAGGGATCCAGAGGGTATATGATGGTATCTAATGATCTAATGGATTATTATAGGATGATATTTAATGGCTGGTTGGTGGTTTGGAACATGAATTTTTATGACTTTCCGCAGATTGGGAATGTCATCATCCCAACTGACGAACTCATATTTTCATATACCCATATTATCCCATATTTTTATATACGATTTTATAAGTAACCACTGAAACTGTGGCTATTATATATCAGGATGGATTATATCCATATAATCTATCATAGTATATATTTTATAAGTAACTAATGAAACGGGCTATTGTTTCGTTAATATCCATCAATCTATTCATCCCAAAGTTATTTTAACCACTGAAACTGGCTTGGATTTTTCAGTTGTCGTCATCCCTGGGATCGGATGGTGGGCTCCGGTGCTGATTTTTGATGTGGTTTATTTTGACACGTGGTCAATGGCTATTTCAGGAACCGATTGATTGGAAGTACCTACCATAGATAAGGCCTATATAAGGCCTATTTTTCAGGCCTAAATATTAGGGAATATCCCCACAAAATATGGTCCAAACATATGGTACAGTACCTCCATTTTAGGATCCTGAAGATCTCCCATTGACATGGGGACATCCACAATGATCCACACAATGGGGACATTGCCAATGTGTGGTGTATGTGTTTTTTTGCTATACAACTTCGTTGATGTTTTCTTTTGCTACTCCGATTTTATAATAGCTCCCATTGATCATCATCACTACCCATCCGGAATTGTATTGTGGATCTCCATGATGGATCTCCATGTCATGGGTAAACCTATGAAAAAATATGTCGGGGATGAACATTCATTCACCGGCTGGGTTTCAACAGGCTTTACCCTCTGGTAATGACTCACATAGCTATTGAAAATGGCCCAGTCGAAATAGTGGACTTACCCATTAAAAATGGTGGATCATGGTGGATCTTTCCATCGTTATCTTAGTTTCCCAGAGGGTATACACCTAAAACTCACTTCTAGTTCGTGAGTTTTCCGGTAGAAAATGATTTTCCATAGTTTTTTGTATGTTTACCAGAGGGTACTTGGGATCGCGGAGGTGAAATCCTTAGGGTCCGGCTGGTCATTTCAGCCGCATTTTTTGGTGATGTTCACACACCATTGTGGTCGTGATCACCCGCTTACTATATAGGTGGAACTACACCAAGTGTGGTTGTAATTGCGATCATAAGTCTAGGTTAAGTAGTTACCCTCTGGTAAACTAACAGTTTGCTATTGAAAATGGCCATAGAAATAGTGGATTTCCCCATCAAACATTGTGATTTTCCATGGTTATGTTACTTCACCGGAGGGTATATCCCATTAAACATCCGGTTTATATCCCCATACAATGGTTGTTATATCCCGAATATCCAATATTCATGGGATAATTCCTAATTGTTGATGGTTAATCACCTATTTGAATGGTCAAAAAACACTGTTTCTTCTAGTTCCACCATTTATAGTAGATTTTCTTCATTATCACAATCAAAAGCGTAATTTTACAAACATACATATATATATAGAATTACCTAAATACACAAAAACATATTCATGTTTATATACATGTTTTTTCTCTATATATATATATATGTATATATACACACCAATTATTTCATATGATGAATACCCGCTTACCATATGTTCTTTTTACCCGTGACTTGCAGGACAAAAACAATTTGCTTCGCAACCGATGGAACTGGAGGACTGGGCGAACAAGCTTGACTGGGCGAGCGCCCGGGCGTCGGAGTGAGATGGTTACAGTTATGGCCATGGCTATTACCCTCTGGTAATTTAACATAACTATGGAAAATCACAATTTTTAATGAGAAAACTCACTGTAAATGGTCATTTTCAATAGCTATGTTAAATTACCAGAGGGTATGGCCATGGCTATTAGTTATAACGGCTTCTTTCTATGGGACTATAGATTCAATAAATGGAGTTAGTTCAGTACAAACATAATTGGCATGACTCGGGCCATACAGTACTTATAAGTGGTATTTCGGGCCATAACTGTAGGTTAGGGGAAATCAGCCCCAAACGGTTTCCCAAATTTGTTTATTGCAGTATAAAGTGGTAGTCATTTTTTGTTACGAATGGATAGTTGTATTTGGACATATTATAAATGATATGTTAGCACTATATCTTTTAGATTAGATATCACTATATTTATCACTATATTTTCGCAAATTATACGTATGTGTAACAGTTACATATTTGACCGGCAATATTATACATATGTATATATATATACATAGTTTAGCAATTATAGTGTGCTATATTGATGTATCACATCACTATAAGTTACGGATTTGACAATATGTAACACATTTTTGGATAGATATAGTGATAATATACATCCATATTAAAGCTACGAAACTATAAATAGATATATCAATACTCAATAGCCTCTTGTAGTTTAGCAGTCTTGCAGGTTAGATTGGAATGATTTGATTCATGACCCCAGTCATGGTAAAAAAGGGCTGGTTACGTGTTGGGCTGGTTACAACTGTTATGTTTACAGTTATAGATCACAGATGTATACAGATGTTAGTATGTATATAAATATATAACTATAGAAAACAAAAAAAACACCCTGTACTCGCACATGTGAGTCTTTTGGATGCAAATTTCGCACAGTGAGACATTTCTTCCGGAAAGTTCGTGATTCGATACATCTATTTGATCAGCCTTGGAGGCCTTCAGCAGAGAGTAATGGATGTTTTTTGTTCTCTCAAAACATAATAACCATCATGATGGTTGTTGGTTGGTTGATTTTCCACCTTAACAAGCAATTATCATAATAATGGTGGATGATATTCATATCAAAAAAAACTTTTTCAGCAAACTGAAAACATGGTCGAGGTTTTTTTTCGGCACCAGCGATGGGACCTTCATTCTATGGCAAATCGTCCCACATCCACATGCAACTCGCCAGGAAGCATTCGGGCAGATCCTGGACGCTAGTCATCCATTCCTGGCT